CTCTGCTGGTACGCACACAGACCTGCAAACGCTGGAATAGTACGCCCCGCCTACGGGCTCACTGAACTTGCACGGCCAATAGCAATGCGTAGTTTCTAAATTTTTAATTGAGATTTACTGAAAAACTACTGAAAATTCTCAAAAAGTTCGAAGTACGTTTCGTCTTAATTTTTTCAGTAGAATGCACCAAAATGATGCATCATGGATGCTTGATGAAGTGAAAATTAAGACGACTTTAGCTAATTTCATTAGAAAAGTTAAATCGTTTATTTTGATATAAAAGTGATGCTCTTGGTTACATAGCTATAACGAGACTGTCCCTTAATATGACCCTTTAATATGTACACCCTCGACTGTGACACCCTGATATAGTAGGGTAGACAGAAAAATACCTTTTTTAAAATCCTATTCTAATAGTGGGGAAATGTTTTTTTAGCTCAACATAACATGTGCAAAATAACAGTTTGATACAAGAACATTTTCTGTCGATAGCAGAAATCCAAAAAATTTTATTTTTTGACGAAACACAAAAGGCAAATCTCGCATTCATTAACGTAACGTTTCATGTCTTCGCGCATGCCTGGCCAATAAAAAGGATTGATTATCGATAGATAAGATTTATTTATTTACTAATGCGCTGCTTGCGAAGTGCAATGATGCTCGGTAATAATCGGTAAAATTTCGTTTTGTTTTAGATATTTTGAACCGCTGGATAGTATAACCACGCATAAAATCATGACGGCGGCCGATTGCTTCATTTAACGAGAAAATTTTTACCAACGCAACGCGAAGCTTTAAGTGATCAAAACGTTCATTAATATATAATAGAGTTTTGTCAAAAATTTTATTTAATTTTTTTAAATATTTATTGCTGATAATTAACCTTCATTTTAGTGTTCTTAATATTCATTTCCGAATAATAATTTTGATTAACCTGTTTTTCTTCAGTGCTCTTTAGTATCATTCATTTCAGCTTTTGTAATCCCAATTTTAGACAGTGCAACTTTTACCAGCTCATTTAAGTTATGTACTTTCGACGTTTAAGTGAAACGTATTTACATTTTCCCACCAAGAAATATAAAAAACATCCATTTTTTAGTAGGATAATATTTAATTATACGAGCTTCCGATATTTTCATATTTTTCTGTTTTTGCAATCAGTTTTTAAGAACGTTTTCATAATCTTGTAAAACATCTTGAGCATTTTCTACAAAAGAATAAAAGGAGGATTTCCAGCATGTTTAACTATTTGGAAATATATTTCTGCAGTATTTATAAGTTCTGTTTTTTTAATTTTTCCGCAAAGAGACAAAAATTTCTGTCGCATTGACAATACGAGTGACCTCTGATTGGAAATACATGCCAAATTTCAACATTTAAAGACGCTCTCACAGCTCTGCATGCATGCCAATGCATGCATAGTTGTCATGGTAACACATGAGAGTAAGTAAGTCAGAAAATTCAAATTTCATGTTTTTTCTCTCTTACTCTCATACTGGCAGTAGAGCTGTGCGAGCGCCTTAAGTAGATTGGAAGTAAAATTAAATAAGTTAGAACAGTATAGTTTCTATTTTGTCCACCTGCGGCATCGGAATAAAAAACAATTTTTGAATGTCGTGATTTGTCAAACTCGATTTAAGTGCAGTAGTGTATAAAACTGCAAATAGTATTTTTGCTCCTTTTTGTAATACTTTCGAGATACGGAAACGTATAACTTCTTTCTCTTTTATGAATATGGACAATGAATATATACAAATATATAATTTTCTTTTATAAAATTTAAAAAGGAGTGTTACTTGTCAGAAACATTGGAAACCTTTCAAAATAAGATAAACGTATTAAATTATATAATTTGGGATGGACAAACCCAAAAAGATTCTCGATTACTCTCTTCCTCTAGTGAAGTTAGAAACAAATCTGATGAAGATAAAACACCTCCTGAAGACTCTGTTAAAGAGCCTCTCCGAAAGAGACGAAATCCTCTTAAACAGTTTCAAAATGGAGATTCAGATCACTCCAGTGATGCAATGGAAGCGTCTTCGATCAACGATTTGAGTCTGTTATTTCAAAAGGACATCGACAACGATGATCTCGTAGATGACTACCCTGATCAACAATCTTCACAAACTATCACGGACCTGGATCCACCAGGCAACCAGTCTCAATAATACCCCCTATCAGGGAAACTCTCGAGAATGTAGTATCCTAACCCATAGGGTCTTAAAACAACACTTATTATTTTCTTTTACATAAGTCTCATTTTACTTAGGTTTAAGAAGTTTAATCAAATATGTTTGTTAATATCTAGTAATTAAGAGTCTTTGTACGTAACAGGGTGTCTAACAACATTCAGAAAAAAAATTCCCTGACTTTGCCTTTTTTCCCCTAACTTATGTTTATAAGATATTATTAAAAATGAAAAAGCATTTGATAAAGCGTGACATAATTTTTGTTTATATTATTATAAAATCCTTACATATAAATCACATATTGAACATTATTTTTAATTATTTCTTTTAAACATTATTTATATATTGAATTACTTAAATTATTAATAAACTTTTTTAATAATACTGTTAACTTTTTTTTTACTGTGTAATCGGACTTGTTTTAAAGCATGTATTTGGTCATCGATAAACATTGTTTCCTTCATCGCATTATCAAATAATTTTTTTTTCACTTCGAGCACTTTCAGTTGTGCAGCGACTCGCTTTCTTGATTCAGTTTTAATTTCGGCGTTTTCTTTCTCCTGCTTTTCTTTGGCAAGTGCCTCTTTATATAACGAAGGAGCGTTTCGGACAGCGTGAATCATTTGTTTTGGCATTGCTACGTTTTCAATACCTCCACAAGCATTGACTGAATCATAAATCAACCTCTGTGCTATTAAGCTTTTAGATTTTTGGTTCTCGACTAGACTCTGTTTGTTAACTGAAAAACCTCGTTCTACTGCAGCATGTATAATAATACTCATCCAAAAGTGATCCAACCTGTCCGTCAATCGATTAAAACTATTTAGCTTCTCAGTAACGATAGATTTTTCGCAAAGATTTTTGAACTCTTATTCTATGTTATTAGCTGTTGTGCCAGATATTATTTTACTGTCTATAAAAATTTTCAGCAAACTGGACAAACGCATATTAGCTACCTTTTTTTAACGGCTATTTCAGGATTTAAGAAAGAGATACACTTTACCACAGGATATTTAATTGGAGATCGTTCCATTATTTTAGAGACAAAAGCAATCATGAATTCACGACTCTTCTTTGAACTGTAATTTATCTAAGTCCTTCACATTTTTCAATTGACGAAGTACAGAGTCTGTTGCATAACCAATATTAATTTGATTTGCAGTTAACTGATTTGCTTTATTAACAAAATCGACTTTCTCTAACTTGGTATTTTCTAAAACATCAGATTTTATGAAACGGCTTGAAATTGATTTTATAACGACTGTGATCTCTGAATGAAGAAATGGAGCCAAAGGGCCATTTGATTAAAATTTTGTTAAGAATGGTTGAACTTCACTTGACATGGTCTGAAAAAACAAAAGCTTTGGTCCCAAAAATTTGTTTTTTACCATGCTGGAGACAATTTTAAAACTTGAGCATTTTGGCTCCTTTTTATTTTTCGTTACAGTTTCGATATATTTTTCAATACATGATAAAATTTGAAAAGCACGTTCAGATACCATTCCATTCTCCAACCACCGGACTGAACAAAATTTTTTAGGAAATTTTGACGAACCAGATGCATTAACATAATCCGCTTTACGAGAAGGATTATTTTTAAATAGATTGTAGAGTGCTCGCAAAAAGCCAACGATATTCCATTTTGTTACAGATTCGCCCTTCTTAAATCCGTTATTAAGAACATGCAGTCCACAGCTTCCTAAATCCAATAACTTTTTCTTTCCACGTCTTGAGCAAAATCATCTTTTAGGTCACGTAAAAATTTGATGTTGACATTTGGTCCATCCATTGATATTTGTATAATTTTTGATCTGATTTCTGGAGGAAAATTATCCTTAAAGGCTGCTAATAAATCTAAAGCAGTTGTGTGGCCCAAGAAAGCTGACGTAAAATATCTCGTTGCAACTTCATTTTTCTTTGCACACCAATAACGAACGACGAAATCCATCTGCTGCTTTTCACACACCTATATTGATAAAATCATTTGTCTAATGAGAAAAAAATCGACTTTTTAGATTTGTTTTACTGCAAATTACAATTAAATTGACCGACAGATTAGCTCAGTCGGATAGATGCCTGGCGTTGGCGGTCGTTTAAGGACCAAGGGTATAAGTATCCTTGGTTCGCGCCCACTTGGCTTGGTATTTTTCCGGCACGTGAGACAATCTGAGCGGGAGGTTTGACGTCGAGGTATAATAATGTGCACCGTCGATTATTGTCCGGTACACACCATTAGAACTCGACTGTCGATAAACCGGTTGTATTCAGGAGAGGTTTTCTACAGTTTCCCTCTTCTCTGGCGAGAAAACCCATTGACGGATGGTCCAGGCGCAATGCGAGTACTCCTAATAAAAGTCGGCTGTAGACGCAAATTAGGTTAATATATAGAAAATTTATGTAGAATGGTTATGCTTAACCCAAAAAAAGTATTTCTCGTGGACTCTTGTCGAAGTGCGTAAGGCCAATAGGGCAGGAGTATAAGCAATAAAAAAAAATTACAATTAAATTTAAAATAATTGAATTGAATTTATCCTTGATAAAAATTATAATTAGTTCAAATATTCAATTATTTATATTTTGGATAAATTAAATCAAGAGTGTATAAAAACTTTAATAAATGAAAGCTTTGGTTAATTAAAATTGATAATAGTTAATATAATTAAATATTTATTTGATAAAAATTTTGACAAGTAGGAGTTTAAATTTCCAAAGATGCGAAAAAGATAAAAAATTATCAAAATTAGTGAAAACATTTTCAAAAGATAAACAAGTCTTAAAAATAACAGTCTTTGAATCCTGATGTCCACTTACCTTATTAAGAGATTCATCAAACGAAACTGCTATCAAATCAGATGTCTCTAAGTCTTTAGCAAGTTGATTATGAAAATAATTGCTAAGTCCATAATTAATGACGTATGATGCTTTATCCTTACTCAACTTCAATTTTTTTGCTATTTCACTGTCAGTAAAAATAATTTTCATCAGAGAAATGCTGTTTTCTATATCTCGTAAAGAATTATGGTTTACAATTGATTTTAAACACCACATTATTTCTGCTTTTGTCACTTCGTCTTTATTATCCATATAACTTTTAATTCCTATTGCTCTCGATTTTTGCGGTTCAACAATTGAAGTACTCGGTTGAGTTGTAAGTAGACTAGTTTCAGATGAATTTAAGCTTTCATGTTCAGTAGACGAGGTTAATGTTATCGGGCTGGAGTTATTATTATCTGTTATTGATAATACGTCTTTTTGAAATAAAGGTGCATTGAAGTTTTTCGCATTTTCAATAGTGGCATGTTTTTTACTAAGCTTATGACTTTTTAGGGCTCCTCTGCCCATATTGCTTAAAGAAATGTTTGTATTGCACAACTAGCAATGTGCGACACTTAAATTTCCTTCAACAGGATTTATCCATGAAAATTCCTTTTCATTCATCCAGCTAAAATTAAATACACACTGCTATGTTAAAGCCATCATAAATCTTGATTTTGATTCAAAATAAATAATAATTTCTAAAATTCTCTTGTAAATGTGAATATTCTTTTAATTACAAAATGACATAACCTAAAATAAACAAAATTTACCACATTAATTTATTTCGTTCAATATTTTACTTTTGAGATTATGACTATTTTATTACCGATTTATGAAGAATCATCTGAATAGTGTAATTCAATAAACTACATTTTTGTAATATATTAATTCACTATTCGTTGAAAACACACAAGAGTCGCAAATTGCTGTTATGTACACACTGATCCGACACTGATGTCTATATACGCCATATTGTTGAATATTTATATACCTATATATAATGCGCAGACGCAATAATCACGTGAATAGGCGCGATTTTCAATTCGAAATTTTTTACTTCAAGAAATTCATTTATAAATACAAAAAAGAAAGTTTTAAAAAAAATTCCAGAAAATTAAAGAAATTCCCTGACTTTTCCCTGACTTCCCTGACCGTTAGACACCCTGCGTAACTACTCATTAAGATGGAATTTGATAATTTTAAACCGAATTAATTTTGGTAGATATATTTTAATATTCTAGGTTAAAACACTCTCCCTTTCTGGCAACACTGGATGGTCTTTTGGATCCTATTCCCACAGATGCATCAAGATGATAACTGTTCATCATAACTGTTATCAAGATCATCAAGCTTGCGGCAACACTTCTCCCTGAATGCGCCAACAATGAGGCCGGCGCTGTGGACATGTGTTCTGTGCTTCACGCGTCGGTTCGGACCGCTCCCCCCGTTTCGTCTCACTCTTCCCCACCCCTTCTCCCCTCCCCGCGAGCCACTAGACTAGACTCCGACTGCTATCACTTACATTCATTCGCCCTTCCAAACAGATCCGCTGACCCTTAATGAGAGAGAGGATGTTGATCCTTATAACAAACCATCCTCTAAACAAAAATTTTATTCTGCCCAAGAAGACTATATACAGGAGAGCAAACTTCGTCCCAAATATATAGAGTAGTGGGGCTGCAAGCGGGAACAAGAATGGCGTGGAGTGAGTTGCGCTAGAGAGGAAATTGGATTCTGTGCATACTAAAGACATGCTGATGTAGAAGACAGCTTGTATGCGCAGAGCCCAAATTCATCTCTGGCGCAACTCATTTCACGACAACCCTGTTCCCATCTCTTGCACCTATTCAACTCCTCTTGATACTCCTCCTGTATATAGTCTTCTTGATTCTGCCTTAGAATCTTTCAAAAAACACTCCGCTGAAGAACCTTAGATATTTAGCATTCTGGAAGGCACCTCACAGCTTCTTAAGCTGACTCATATGGTCACAAGCAGGATATAGATATTTGACAGTAGGGGGTTAAAATGCAGAAACGCGGTTGCAAAATGGAAAACACAAAAGCAACAAAAGTAATGTAATGACAGGCGGCAAGACGCTTGTTACATCCATTTGCCATTAGAGAGCAGAAGCATGCAGGGAGCGTAAAGGCTCAGCTGTTAAAATGATTTGCATTACATTACTCTGGCCTTTCCCATTTTGCAATCGCGTTTCTTCAAGAATTAAAAAAATATTTTGGATTTAGGTAATTAAGAAGATTTGTGTCAATGGTTCGGATTCAGATTTTGAAAAAAGTGCTTGTGTGCAGAGAAAAACTCGTTCGAAAATGATTGTTTACCAATTTCACGTCATTTAAACCAGGCAGTGCCGTATTTGTTGGGTGATAGCAGTTTGTCGAATATAATCTAGAAATTTCAGAGACCATCGAACACCGTTAAGAGAATTACCTAATATTTTCAAACAAACATTAGGAGGTAATACGTTCTTGTTGTATGACTCCATTAACGATGACAAAGAAAATCCTAGAATCCTGATTTTTGCGACAAAAGAGAATCTTAAAATGCTGTACAGATCAAGTACATGGTTTGTTGATGGTACATTTAAAACAGCACCAACAATATTTTATCAACTGTTTGCTATTTTGGGATCTGTCATTCAGGAGGATAAAACTTTAGCGTTGCCGATTGTATATATGCATTAATGGAAAATAAAGAGCAAGTCTCTTATGAAAAAATTCTGGATGTCATTTCAACGAAAGCAAGAGAATTTAATATTGAAATTACTCAGCCGTCGTTGATAATGTGTGATTTTAAATTAGGCTTAATAAATGCAGCAACAAATTTCAGTTAGGGAAGATAGAGTTCGGGCCTGCTTTTTTTCATCTATGTCAAAGTGTATATAGACGTGTACAATCGGAAGGTTTGCAAAATCGTTATATGTATCCAAATGATAGGAGAAAAGCTGTCCCTACTAGGTATCCTCCTATATTGTGGTCTCAATATAATGCGGTATTACAAAATACGGCAAGAACTAACAACTTGTCAAAAGCTTGGCACAATCGACTACAAGTTGTTATTGGACGAAAACACCCCAGTTTATATCTTATATGCTTTTCTAAAAAAAACTACAAAAGGAGCAGTCCGACACGGAAACTATGTTGCTTCAGTTGGAATTGAGACAAAAAATTAAAAAACTAGTAGATTCCAGATACAAACGGATTAGTGAACGATTGTTATTTTAGAAATCATATTTTTTAGAAAATTTTATTTTAGAAATAGAACTTCATTAGAAAACAGTTTTTTTTAGAAAAAATGGATTAGAAAATATTTTTTAGAAAAAGTGACCCCCTACCTAATAAAGCATCATATTAAAAAAAATATTCTGAATTCGTTTTTAGAAACAATGAAAAAAAATTCAGGTAAATTTTAGGCGTATGATAGCCCCCAAATTTTAATTCTATACATTGGTTGTTTAATTGAATTTTTAACTTTATAATTATCATTTACTCGGTAGGTATGTATGTGTCCATAATTTAATGTTAACATTATTTTATATTGAGGCTTTTTTTCCTTCTTGACCACCTTGGAGAGCGGACGTGATCTGCAACAATTATTTCAATGGCGGACAATTTGGATAATGTTTCCAGTGGAGAGGATAAAGAGATTCAAATTTAATTACAGCAGCTATATGATAGCCTCAAGGAGTTACAGCAGAAAAGAGCTGGGCAAAAAAGAAAGAAAATTGACATGGCTGCTGCCCCAGCCAGGGCGACAGTAACGCTCATATTCCGCCGAAAGAATCGATGGAGGATTCCGCGATGGAATCTCCGCCGACAGTTTCTCTCTCTAACTCTCCTTTTTCTCCCTCACTCTGACAATCGGTTCTTCTGCTCTATCCGTCTCGGTCAAACGCATTGATGTCTCTTTCTATATCACAAGCTGAATTTCAATCCTCTTGCGCCGAAATTGGGCCGACGAGGTGGAAGAGGAGGACGATGAGGATGTCGAATTCGTACAAGTTATTAAACGGAAGGCGTCATCAAAGCAAAGTCAAAGTTCGGAAGACCTGCTATTAGGGTCTTTATACAGAAGGCGAGAACGGGCTTGGAAAAAAATTAGAAAGATCAGTGCAGAACTCAGAAAGTGTCCGAAATGTCAAAGACTTCTTGAAGAAAGGTCCAAGTGGACGAAAGTTAAAGACGAGGCCGACAAGGAAATGAGTCATTTGAGAAAGTAATTTCATAAGTTATTTCGTCGATTTATTTTTCTTATGAACTATTGAATGTGATTTTAATTTAAAGCGGTTGTGATATTAGTTTATAAAAAAAATTGACAATAGATTGACAATAGATTATCATTGATTAGTTGAATATTCTATGAATCACGTATTATTTTAAAACATAAAAAATTAAGACACGTTAAAAGTTTATAAAATAAACATTATATTAGACAATATTTTTATGTAATAAAAATTGAAAGAAATAAAAATTGTATTAAATTACTATTTTGTAAAATATATTTAGATAATTTAAATTTATGTTGTAGTCTTTAATAATATAGTAATTATTTCAAATAATAATTATATCTGTCAAAAATTATGAAAAATAAATATTATATTTTTAACAATTACAGTATTTAGAGTTTTGCAAGACGACAAGAAAATTTTTCGCCCTTACAGCCCAACCCGGTAAGAAGCGAAGAATTCAAAAGTTGTATTCTTCTTAATAGGCGAATTTACCTCGGAGCTCTATTCCACGGAAACGACCAAAATTTCAGAAAAGTTTATAATTCAGAATTGACTTCACAAAAATATGAAACGCGCATTCAAAAGAATAAGAAAGTACAGCAGATCAGTAGAAATTTCTATTCCTCTGAATTAACTCACTGCCACTCAAGATTCTACTAGAAAGTGAGGTTAGGTTTCAAAACTTGACTTAAACATTTAACACTTGAAAATTTCTTTCAATAAGAGCATTTTATATTTTATCGTAAGCACTTTCCCAAGTGCGAAATGCCAAGACTGCAAAAACGGCCCATCATTAATCCAGTAATATCTGCCGAGAATTGGCAGTAGTTACTGGGCCATTACTGGTGTTCAAAACGTCCCATTGATGGGCCAATGATGGCGCCGATGGTCAGATTTTCAAATTTTTTAAGACTGGGCCAGCTCTCGGCCCAATAATGGCACATTCATGGCAAAGTTGATCAATTTTTAATGTCAAAAGACAATTGCCAGTGATGTGCCGACCATCGGCCCAGTAATGGCTCCTAATTGGCACTTTAATGGCAAAAATTTTGTATCTTTAAAGGCAAATTATAATTGCCAGTATTGGGGCGTAGCTTGGCTCAATAATGACACGTTATCGGCAAAGATGGTCAATCTTTAATGGCAAAATACATTTGCCAGTGATGTTCCGACCATTGGCCCAGTAATGGCTCATTATTGGTACTTTAATGGCAAAAAATTTGTATCTTTCATGGCAATTTATAATTGCCAGTATTGGTGCGTAGCTTGGCTCAATAACGGCACAATATTGGCAAAGTTGATTAATCTTCAATGGCAAAATTCAATTGGCAGTGGTGTGACGAAGATCGGCCCATTAAAGGTACATTAATGGCATTTTAATGGCAAAAATTTTGTATCTTTGATGGGAAATTATAA